CATCAAGAGGAGGTCATATGGACGATCTCGGGTAGAATTCACTCATGTGAGATTAACGAAGCAAAGCTCTGGGCGCTGACAATGGCCGTGTGCAACCTTAATCTTGCCTTCTCTAGGGTGCATATTTAGGGGGATCAGCAAATGTCATCAGATGGTACCTTCATCCTGATTCAACCTTGTGGTATCTCAGCAGTATTATGGATGAAATTCTTATCTGCTTGAGAGACTACCATGTTGTCTTCTCTCATGTTCCTCAAGGGTACAATTCAGATGTTGATCACTTGGCTACTTCTTAATCTTTGGTCTCCTTTGGACCTTGTTCTGTTCTACCTTTCCCCCTTGTTTTTTTGCCTGGCCTCTTGTGTCTGGCTTCCTACCCCCTTATTTCCTTTTCTTTATTTCTTCTTGTTGTTACTTTTTATTGCACTTTTCATTACCTTAATGAAGTTCACACTTACTCAAAAAAGAAGAAGGAATTTTCAGTATTTAATAGAAGCCTCGGGGTACCTTTTTTAAAAAAGAGTAATGATCCTATGAGACCCTCCCACACCCATGTGTGTAGGACCCCAAAGGATCACCATTAAATTTGACACAGATCTCTAAAAAAGTTATCATATGGGTATGGAACTTGACTTTTCTACAGATCTGTGCCAAATTTAATAGTGATCCTTTGGGGTCCTACACATATGGGTGTGGGAGGGTCTCACAGGATCATTACTCTTTAAAAAAAAACTACTTTCTTTTAGCATTAACATGTTTATACATTTCCGTGATTGGAATTAGTCTTTGCACCTGCAGTTTGCTATTTCCACCTAAAATATGGTGGGACAAAAAAAATTGGAATTAGATTTGCCAAATATATCTTTGGGTGGGAATAACATCATGACCCTAAAATATAGAAAGATACCATTTACTTTTAGCCAATGATTTAAAAAACAGATCGGTGACCCGGATTGATAATCGTAAAAACTGGATCGGATCGGTGAATTGATAAGTCCGGGTCACCGTTTTATTTTGCGAAAAAAACAACGAATCGACAAAAAAACACATGCAAAAACAGTGAACCAGCCAAACACCGGTCGGGATTGATGAATCGGTGTATTTATTGTAGCAAAACATCATTTTACTGTTACAAATTGTTGGCTCTCTTCTAGATCAGGATCATTTCCTATATATTGATAGAATCAGCTAGGGTGACCAATTCTTTGGTTGGATCAGGCGACTCCGCACCTGCCCGGCATTTTTTAAATCACTGTTGTTAGCACAAGGAGGTCATAATTACTATTATCCTTCATATTTTTAAATTGACCAGTTGTGAGCCCGTCATTGACAGGGTTCAAAGTTTAAAAAAAAATAAACATAAAAAATCTCAAACTTTATAACACAACCCAAACCATCAAATTTGACATCTAATGGTCAAAAGTAATCGTGACCTCTTTATAACAAAGATAAAAGTTTCATAATATACAATCCCTTAAAATAAAAACCAATGGGTAACTTTGCTTCCAGGGGATTTGAGGTGGCTTATAGATTCCCTGTTTAGCTCACCAATTTAGGGCTAGGCCCCTCAAAATGAGGAAAAAAAGACATAAAATCTTCAAAATTGTTGAATATATGTTATGATAAAACTGATTAAATACTTGTTGAAAATACAATTTGGAGCATTCAAAATCAAAAAAGAAATTGATCACTAATCAAGCACTAAATTATAAAATATGGAAAGAAGAACTAACATTTTCTTAAATCCCACTGACAAATTTTTTTGGAGTAGTTTTGAATTGAAGTATGATTTGAATTAATGTTGAGCCAAGGGATAACTTAATTCGAATGAAAGGAAACCCATGCTTAGAGCTCTTTGAAATTTCAAATCTACCAAAAAAAAAAGGCTTGGAAAAGTATGTAACGAGACCATTTACTTTTGGTACAACATGGTCACAACTAATATTGACCATTAGATGTGAAATTGGGTAGCTGCATTTATTTCATTGACCAAGCTCAAAGTTCAAAAGAAATTTACTCGAATTTCTTGATATATCCAAGCTATCAAAATTCACTAAGTAATTATGATCTACCTGTACCAAAGGTAAATGATCTCACTGTATAAAATCCAATTGAGATCAACTGATTCTGCTCCAAATTAACAATTTTTTAAAGACAACATACAAATCATACAATTCCAACTCATGATCACTAAGTATTTTTAATAATCTTTTTGAAGCTGAATAAAACTAGACATAATGTTAAAGGAAAAAGTTCGTAGAATATTGGAACTTCACTTGTAGAAGTAATATTGTAGTATTTATATTATCTATTTTATTTGGATAATGTAGGTTTAACATTAGCTTAAAAACATGCTACTTTTTAAAATTGTCTTAAAAAACCCGTCAAATGTATATTATGTAACTATTATCACTCATTTATAATATTGCACCTTTACTTATGCAAGTATGGTTGTCACATTATATAAACCACCTTCTGATCCAACAAGTTGAATATCTCATTGTGCAAATGGCCAATATTTATAAGGTTATGTTAGGGTGCTAACACTATAGAGCATTTTATAATGGAAAAATATTTCATGCGGGTTGGACAACATTTCTAGATATGCGGTCCAAAAAGTTTAAAGCATCCATCTTAAAGATGGATACAAGTAGGGGTTCCATATAAAAAAAATGAAAACTAACGGTCCAAATGTTTTCTTACTAGAATTATTATTTTTAGTTTTTAAAATTTATTTATTTTTTCGTATTCATGATTTCCATATTAGAGATTACATGTCCTTAAAAATTGTCTTAAAATCCATTTCAAAAATAGATTTATTGTTCTACATATGCGGCCTTGGCCGCGTAGAAACCGGGTCCTTTTATGTACTTACCAAAATTTAGATACTTATATACATTTGTTTTGTATTACAATATTTTTTTAGTAAATATATTTTTTTATCATTAGGAACGATATGACATCACCCATATGGAGCACACATATGGATAATGTCATACCCCATGTGGATGGTGTCACACTTCTCTTAATGATCCAAAATACCATTACTACAAAAAATGCTCTATGCATAAAACAATAATATATTAGTGTCCAAAGTTTGTTGAGTACAATTATAAAAGAAAAAAGTTAATATAAGGTCGCAACCTTACCTCTACAGCTACATATGCATCTAAAAAATCCATCGAAAAAGGTAGTTTTAATGTTGAAACCCTTTGATTGATCATCTTGACATTGAGATGTATGACCATGAAAAAAAATAGATTTTAAGTCTCAGAAATAGGGCATTTTACAACATATTATCTACACCGTCTATTTTCAAGATTTTCATATATTTATAGATCTACTGGATTTTAACCATTTTTGAAAGTTAAAATTTTATAATTAGATATAAAAATAGATTTTGAGATAATCCTAAGAATGTTTTACAACAAAATTATATGCCATGATAAAATTTGAAGGTGCACCTTACCTCTACAGCTACGGAGGCATCTGCATGCCAATTGCACCCACTATAAAGTGATCTATAGTGTGAACACCCTAACATAACCCATATTTATAAATAGAAAAAGTTTATATAAGGTTAATACCTTAAAATGTAGAAATAAAGATGCATCTCAAAATTCTATCGAAAAAAGTTATTTTAATGTTGAATATATCTCCAATTGATCATCTCGATATCGAGAAGTATGACTATGAAAAAAAAAAAAGATAAAAGATTTCGAGTCCCAAAAATATTGCATCTTGCAACATATTATAGACTGTCCATTTTTAACCATTTTTAGGGTTTAAAAATTTATGATCAAACATGAAAATAGATTTTAAGATAATCTTAAGAATTTTTTACACCAAAATTACATGTTATGATAAAATTTGGACATGATTGATTAAGATTGCAACCTTATACAAACCATACCCTTTGTAAATTATAATATTTGCACAAATGTGAATATTTCATTGTACAAATAGGGACTTTTGGCCTCACTAAAGGTATAACCTTAATATAGCACAATGGTAGATCATGATTCATATAGGTGGCTCCAATTAGTTGAAAAAAATCTTTGATCATAATGATTAATATAATGATTCAATTAGTCGAGAAGACAAAGAAGATGATAATAAACGCAAACGTGTAACACGCATATAAGTGGGTTCCATGTGCACACTTGTTTTTGCTATGAACACCTTTATAATGGGCCATATCCAATTATTTGAAGGAAAATTGTTTCATGCGGCCTCGACCGCATTTCTACAATATGCGGTCCAGTATAAAGTATCCATCTTAAGGATAGATGTATAGTTGGTCTATTTAAAAACAATTGTAACTAACGGTCAAAATAATTTATTAATATAATTATTATTTTTAATTTTCAATTTTTTTTCATATTCATGATATCCATGTTAAAAATTATATATTTTCTAAAGATAAATTTAAAAAATATATTTATTGTCAAGCCCGCATTTCTACAATATGCGGGCTGACTGCATAGAAACTGTCCTTCGAAAGACGTGACGACGCTTTGTTTAGCTTGTTTTGGGTGCGAGTAACAAATGCAGAGAGCACAAATAGCAATGGTAGGATATCTTGGCAGTATCGCCAACCGTATAGAGGGCATTTCTGGCATATACCGAATATTCTAGGGACATTCTCGTAATTTTCACCGGCGGCGACCTTTTAACCCTCGTCTCACCATTCGGCGCTTCCCAAGCCGGTCACCACCGCGATATCCCGTCCCCATATGCCCCACCGCCACCGTCTATTACCGGTCATCACGGATCTCCACCGCCGGTTCGCGGTCACTCCCGATCGCCTACTCATAACCCTCAAGGTATAAAAGGCAGCTTCAGCGTGAAGAGAGAGAGAGAGAGTGCATGGACCCAGGGATCTTGGCGTGTTCCCCAGGCTTCTTCATATGCACATGGTTCGAGCCATCTTGAGCCCAGCGCGCCCTCAACATTGAACCCACTAGAACCCACTTGACCCTGGTATAAATATTCCTCTTTCTCTACCATTCTTGTTACTGTAGGAGTCTATCTCTCCACCATTATCAATTTATTTGTTTCTGTGATCTTAGTTCAGAACTCCACTTTTGATCTTCTCACTCTATTCCTCCATTTTTTTGATCTTCTCATTCCGTATCTTCATCTCATTTTCTTGCTCTAAACCTTCATTTTGCCCCCTATCTCTCTTTCTTACATTACAGGTAAGCTTCTTGGTATGAAGCTACATTTTGGCGTTTCTAAATCTTTGCTAGAGCTTTTTTTTTCCGCTGGAGTTTGTTATCTTGGTCTTGCTTTTGTGTTTTTGATGCTGAATTTGGTGTTTTTGGCCATAGATCTGGTAATTAAGTGGCAATTTGGTTGATTTTCATATGTTTTTTGGTAATTTGAGGCAGTTTACTGGTTTTCTGTATTTTTGGTAATTTCGAGGATTTTTCTGGTTTTTCCTTCATGTTTCAGTGGTTTGAGATAGTTTGCTGGTCTTTCTGCAGTTTTTTGGCAATTTGAAGCGATGTTCTGTTGATAGAGGGATTCAGATGATTTTGGATCGAGTAGTTCAAGGATCATTATAATGCAGTTAATCTTGCTGAGTTTCTGTTATTTAGAAGTTATTGATTCTTGATCACAAGCTCTATCTGGTTCTGGATTCCAACTCAAAGGATCAGAGGATTTTCAGTGAGCAGAAGAGTATCAGATAAGTCAGGAGGCTTGTTCTGTGGGATCAGTTAAAAGTTCTGCAATTGTTCATAAAATATCAAGTCTCTGATGCCTTCAAGGGGATTCTGGATAAGTTGAGAATCAGTTGTATTTTTCCCCTTCAATGTTGAACTCGCTATTTTTATAAATGTCTGGTGTATCATTTATTATTAGAATGCAGTATTAGTAGAGCCCTTGAAAGGCTTTGTAGTGTTAGAAAGTCTTTTTAGCGCAAGAAAGGAGCATCTGGTCTCGCCTGTTGTCAGAAATCAATAGTATCTGGATTAATTTTTATAGGATTTTAACATCAGTGAAGCTAAATTCATCGAAGAACACTGTAATTTACCTGAATCTTACAATTTATCTGAGCCGAAGTATATACATTGAATCTAGTCATTGAAGACTGAGGCTATTTATCCTTGGTTATTTACCCTTTTGGGATGCACAAGATCCAGCGGTTAATGTGTTCTTACTTGTGGATGATTCATTCCATATAGTCACAGTACATCATTGCAAAGCTTTGCAAGCAATTCCTCATTTGTTACATGGAATTTCTGTGTATGTCCAGTAATTATTCATCACCTTATAAGGAAACTGGCTATAATTAAGTTATAGAGAAATTCAGTGATATATAGATTGCTTGCATTGATCATCTGGTCCCAATAGGCCTTTTCCCAGGTCAATATAACTGACCCAACAAGCAGTAGCAATATCAATCTGTTGAGAATGTGGTTACGATAGGCTTGACTGTGCATCAAAATGCCAGCTGGAGATGCATCTCTCAATAGCAACCCTTGCATAACCATCCCCGATAGAATGCAGTTTCAGGGTGGTGAGATCCACCAAAGGCAACAGCCGTGGTTCCCGGATGAGAGAGATGGGTTTATCTCATGGCTTCGATCAGAATTTGCAGCAGCAAATGCCATTATAGACTCTTTATGCTATCATCTCAAGGCAGTTGGTTCACCAGGTGAATATGAAACTACCTTGGCTTTCATTCAACAAAGGAGATGTAACTGGACACCAGTTCTTCACATGCAACAATACTTTCCAGTGGCCGAAATAGCATACTCATTGCAACAGGTAGCATGGAGAAAGCAACAAAGGCATTGCGACCCAACAATGCCAGGTTTTCATATGAGATATTCAGAGAAAGAACCAAAGAAATCAGGTCAACAGAGTTTTGGTAATAGGCATTGGAGCATGGTTCAGGGTCATGGGATTTATGGGGGCTCCGAGAAGGAGAGTCAAGACTCTGGGGCTTCGAGTAAAGTTGTTGTTGGGACTTCTGGTAACGGTGCAGATCATGGAGAGGAGGTTAAACAGGTCAATGGGTCAATGTCTGGCGAGGAGAGAGAAGGTAATTATAATTTAGTGCTTCTATCTTTATCTGATGGTTGGGTACTCTTTTATGTTCCAGATTTAGAAGATCATGGTAATGACATAGTACCATTAATTTATTTTCATTGTCTTTGTAACTGTTTGGTGTATTTGTGGATTTGATGACTTCGTCCTTATTTGGTGTATTTATGGATTTCATGTGGATCTCTATCTTGTTTTACTATATTGGCCTTTTTGTATTTATTTCTATGATGAAGTTTCTACTAGCTTGTAAGGCCTTTTAGTATTTCGGCGTTCACATTTTAATTTACTTCACTATTAGTTGTTATCCTTATTGGCTGCGAACTTATAAAATGTTAACTCTTATGAGATTGAGTTTCCATATATGTGAGATATATTGCTTCTTGAGCAAAATCATGTTTATTGGATTGAATTTTATTGCGATGCCATTAGCATATTAAGTTACATTGTAATACTTAGTCATCCAGCTGAAAAAATTCCCTGGACATTACTGTATAAAAATTTGAGCACTTCCATTTCTTTGCAAGTCATTGTAGGTGCTGTTGTGCTCAAGTTTCTGAAAAAAACATATAGTCTATAAACCATTTTATTTGTGTAGGAGTGGAGGTTTCCAAGTCTCAGAGAGTCTGCAGCTTATCAAATGGCCCGAATTCATTGGGAACCGAGGATGGTAATTCAGAGCCTAAAATCTTGAACAATTGTGGTATGCCATACTTAAAACATGATTCCCATTTTTCTGACTCATTGCAGAGCACTTTTTTTCATGGATTGGAAGTCTTGTGATCTATGGAAGTGTACAAGTCAGTTGTAGCCAGTAGTTTACCTTAGTATTCTGTGTAACATGTGCATGGTGTAGTTCCAATTTTTGCTTGGAGATGCATGGAGGTTTTTGGGATTGAGATCCCTTCATTGAGGATAGACAATGAACCATATGCAAAATATGCTAGTAGCTTATACTTTTATTCTTGTTTATCATGTGAATATCTCTTATTTAATGCTGGAGTCTCTGTTGCGATACATATTTTTAAGAAATCAAATGGATGTAGTTATCTATATTTGGATACCTTTCATGCATGTCTTGAGAACAACTTTCTATTGGTTTGGTCATGATATTCTGCAGGGCCTTGTGATACTGTGACTCAAAAGGATGAAGCAGATGGTGTTCAGAAGGAAGTTGAGGAAAACGAGAGTGTCCCGGCCCCTAAGACTTTCGTGGCTACTGAATACTTAGATGGGAAGGCGGTAGGATCCTATACATATTAGTGCATGATCTCTTTCATGTGCACCTTCTTTGGATAGTGGATGCTATTTCCTGCTAACAGCATTCATATATTATTGCATATTAGATATTGCTTCATTCTTTTTGTAGGTCAATGTTCTTGAAGGACTGGAGTTGTATGAAGAGCTATTCGACAGTACAGAGATTTCACGGCTTGTAACATTTGCAAATGAACTTAGGGCTGCGGGGCGTAGAGGAGATATTCAAGGCAAGTTTTTCTAGCTGATGATGCTTGTTGTAAGATACTCATATTCTATTATATGTATCTAGTTTTTTTTCTTTAATATATCTGTTATATTCATTGTTTTTTCTTTTTTGCTAGCATGATAAAATGGGAAACGATTTGTATCCTACTGGAATGGATACATTACTGTTAACACTTTTCTTTTTAGATAACATACATGTACAATTTGTGCGTGCAATCGTAGATGAATAAGCTACTTATGTCCTGGAGATAATAAAATCCTGAACAACCTTTACATCGTCCCAGTGTTAAACATCCTTTATGTGCCTAAGCATTTTGATGGGCATTCGGGACTGAGTTGAATCAATGACCTTGGATTTAGCGTTTGAAAACCCAGTCTTGGGACAGTTAATATGCTGAGGCGACGCCTCTACCAGGCCTGAGTCGGCTTTCTGAGTTTGAGAGGGCTGCCCCTTAAATGGAAAAAAGGAAAACTTGTTAAAAACTCTGAAAAATGATTCTATTGTTAGTTTTTGGAAAAACATCCATTGAATTAGTATGTATTTTTTTTCAAAAACTAATGCAAATCAAACCTTGTTTGAGGAAATAGTTGGTGTAGTTTGACCCTAAAACTGTAAAAAATCAAACCCCCAAGGAACGGCGCTCTTGGCATGGTGATCAGGGTGGTGGAGTGAGTGACAACGTTACCTCAATGAGGTCCACTCCTATCCTGTTAAGATGTCAAAGAAAGAAGAAGAAAGATTATATGCCCATGGGCCTTTAGATTGCAAATCAGAGAGATCCGATTAAAGGGGCAATTTTTTGGGTGGACAGAAAAACCCCCTAAAAAGGGAGTTGTCTGTTGGACTTGGGTGATTTTCTGAGACTTGCTCTAGACTTTGAAATTCTGGACCCTGCCGGTTCATTGTAGTGAACCAATGGGATCATGTGACCTCGATTGGGATCCATCCGGAAACGGGGATCCCCTAAGTACGGGTTGACTCGGGTGATTGCGAGCAAACTTGGCACTTTTTAATCACTGATTGAAAGTTTCAATAACTGAACACCTCAGGCTTGTGCTTCATGAAATATACCTAGGCATCATCCAGAATGTAATAATTTACAGGTGATACAATATGAAAAACCAGATTCAATGGGGTTTCAAGAAATGTCTCAAGTCTATGATGCACAAGTTCAACAAATTGCACGTTTCATTATGAGAAATTGTGAGCGGCCAAAACAATGACATTGACTTTTTTCTTAAAAGGAAACTCGTACAGTTGGCCAAATTCTCTCATTCACCTATAATACATGAAAAATAGCAATGTTAACTAAGGAAAAATTACTTGGAATAAGGATGGTTTAAATATCAATGCTAAGGCATGCTACTGACAAAGAAAATGAAGAATAGAGAGCTCAAAGGGTGCTGTGTTTGTAATGATTGAGTATCATTTCAGACAATATTTTTTAACTCACCTCAGGCCTCGTACTCGACACTGCCCCAAGGTGAGTAACTCAGCAAGTCTACAGAGCCAAAAGGCCCTTAAATAAAAAATTCAAAAAAATTGTTTAAAAATAAAATACATATTGTAAAAGTTAAACAAATCCAAAGGCAACACAAAAGTCCAAAAAAGCTAAAAAAGATATAGAAAATATAGTTTTAGAAAAAATTGATTCATGGTTGGAGATATTCTAGGAAAATCCATAAACAAGGGGAAAATATAAAAATTGGGCATATGACAAGAAAAACTCATAAATCATCCTAAAAAATCCAAATTATGTACATAAATTTTTATACGTTCATTCCACATTTCTTATATATTTTTTGTGATTTCTTTACATATTTAAAGTGGACTGCACCAGATTACTTGGCTTCGCCAAGAGTTGAGTCCGAGTAACTCGGCCAAGTTGAAGTGGACTTGACCGTTTTCAATCATTGATTTCACACAGAGAAACGTAAAATTCATATGGCTTACTAGTCACTATCAAATTTATGTAGGGATGTTGTGGCACAAAGGAAATGGATATGTTAGGAGCTTATTGTTATCAACTTATCGCAAGTCTTCAAAAGCTTGTCTGATTATTTTGAGCCTCCTACTACAAAGTAACCATAATTTTAAGGTTTTTGATTGATTATAATTAGTCCCCAGCTTTTCCTTCCAAGCGTAAAGATTGTCAACCATGCCCTGAGCCACCTAGATTGAATGGACCTAGCTCTTAAGAACTGACATGACAGTCCTCTATGATGACCAAAGATTGAGCAAAGAGGATAAATAAAAAATATCAGTTGAAGCTTAGGATTCTAGATGGGGTATAAATTACGTGCTTGGACTTGTTGGATGCATGTGGAACAACCTACACTACCTAGACTCAGAGTTTGAATAATGAAATTAATTCCAAGCTCCCAAAAGTCAAGTCCGAGGGATCTAGGATCCTATCTAAGTCATACAATAAGCTTTAACCTAAGCATGACCACCCTTCGATGATTTTAAAAATGTAACAAGATATGTCGGATTTGACCTTAAAACCTCATTGAAAAGTCATTAGTAACCTTTCCACCTACTAAGTTAAAAGTTCCCACCTAGACTCAGAGTTTGAATAACGAAATTAATTCTAAGCTCCCAAAAGTCAAGTCCGAGGGATCTAGGATCCTATCTAAGTCATACAATAAGCTTTAACCGAAGCATGACCCTTCCATGATTTTAAAAATGTAAGAAGATATGTCGGATTTGACCTTAAAACCTCATTGAAAAGTCATTAGTAACCTTTCCACCTACGAAGTTAAAAGTTCCCACCTGGGGGCATTTCAATGTTCCTGTCTTGAATGGGGTGGTCTGGTGCTTGCTTGCCTAGAACGGGGTGGCCTTAGATGCCTTTCTAGTGGATTTGGAGGTCAAGTTGGGTTGCTCTTAAATGTTAATAGTTTTGTACCTCTCGCTTTGTGTACAGTGTAAATTTAATAATTTGTACAGTGTAAATTTAATAATTGTATATTTCCTACTTCACATGAATACATGATTACAGCATATGCGACGAGTGACAGATTCTCTACATCATTTTATGTCTGTGCTTGGACAAATTCCCTGCATTTATTTTGACATTATACGTATTGCATCACTTAAATTTTGGAAATATATTTGCACCAATAGAATTATATAGTTCGATAAATTGTTGGTGGAGATGATTATATGACCTTGTCCTTTATCAGGACATGTGTGAATTATACAGTGATAGACCTGAAAATAACTCTTTTCAAGACAGTATATAACTGTATATCACGTGGGATCCTTTTGGTTATTGAAAGAGTTAAACTACCTACAGATGGGACACATTGTTTGGGCATGAAACTACAATAAATGTAACCAACTGTGGGAAACATGGGCTGGAAGAAGTTTTGGAAAACTGCCTGGTTCCACAAAGTATTTTCAGAAAACTAATTAGTCTTATTTTTATTCTTTCGTTTCTGGTATCTTTAAGCTTGTTTTAGGATGATCCTGCCCATAATGAGAACCAATGTTTCAAAATTCGCTGATCCGGATTGGGAATCACTGATCCGGATTGGGAATTGGTGGAGATTGAGTTGGTTCCTTGTGGGGTTGACTAGTTCCCTAGCAGAAACCAGGAACCAGTTCGATTTTGACGAACTTGCCAGGTTCCGATTAGAGTACCGGGTGAGTTGTCATGAAACCAGGCTTTCAAAATCACTTGGTCCTCACCCGTTTTATTTTTTATTATATTTCATTTTTTATTTTTCAGAATTAAAATTAGTGTTTTAATTTTTTTTTGGGGACTGATTCGCGCACCAGAGGATTTGGTCTAGTTCGTCGATCTGGACCAGATTCTTGGAAGGCCGGTTTGCTTGGCTGATCTGGTTTTTGAAACATTGATGAGAATTGAAAAAATGTGGAATATACTTTCATGGCAGTTCTAGATTCAAACACGCTTGCATGTTGAATTGGGTCTTTGCCATTTTAGGCTTAAGGGAAAGTAGAATAAAGCGTCAGATTATGTTTCCTGTTGCTTGCTGCTGTCTGCCTATTTCAATATTGAGTATTTAGTATTTTCTTTTACCTATCTAAGAATCAATGTGTTATTGATGTTGCTCCTAAAGTGACTTTTTGACGATCTAGGGGTGGCACATGATGTATTGTAACAGAAATCTTTGTTTAAAGGATCTCATAGGAACATATACTTCGTCCAATTAAGGAAATTTTTGTTGATTTATTTCAAGAAGTCTTTTGAAAGATTTTGGGGGACTTTGGACTAGTTTATTTTCAACTTGAAAACAAATGTAGACACATCAAAGAAGATAGATAAATAAAACAAAATGAGGGCATTGAGTTTGTTGGAGTTAAATGTCTTGTAGTATGGTTTTGATCTTCTATGATTTGTCTAAATAGTGAAGGGTGTGGCTCTGTAGAATTACTAAGTATAAATTTAACAATTTCCTCTTTTATGTATGGGTGCGGTTTGTATAGAGCCTAGGCTCTAAACAATCAAGTTAGAGCCTACCTTCAAATAGTGTTGAGAAATGTGGTTTCAATATTGGAAATCTTTGTGATAGCCTTAAAATATATTTTCATATTTATTTATAAAGTTTAAAGATTAAAAAATAGTGTAGATCGACATATATATGAAAACTTGAAAATCTTGAAAATTGACGGCCCCAAAATACGTCACAAAATACACTATTTCCAAAACTTGAGATCCATTTTTTCTCTTGTCCATACATCTTGATGTCGAGATGATCAATCTGAAGATATTTCGGCATTAAAACAACCTCTTATAGTGCAATTTTTGAGGTAGGCTCAAATTTGATTGTTTAGAGCCGCGGCTCTATATAAACTTTTCCTTTTATGTATATAACTGGAATTTCTACTTATAGTTGCCACAATACAATGCAGAAATTGAAAATAAACCTACTACAATCTAGGTTCTTTAATTCTTACTACCAAAAAACTTTTTCAAAACTGAATTCACACTTACAATATGAATTCTAATACAATTAGGAATTCTATTACACTTACAATATGGATTCTAATGCAATTAGGAATTCTAATTTAAGTAGGAGTTCCAGTCCAAGTAGGAATCCTAATCCAAATAGGACTCAAAACACACAATTAGGACTTCTAGACAAATATGAATCAAGAACTGAAAACAAAATCAATCAAAGAAAAATCGGGAAAAGAGTCACTAACCCTTTTGCTTAAGGTTAACCTCTTAGGACGTAGTACACCCCATACCTGATTACTAAACCGGTGGTGCACATATTCCTTAGGTCTTGCTGGATCCTTTGAAACTGGGAAGCACCTCTGAAATACCCTATCACAGAACTATGGGGCTGAGAGCATGGGCTTCTATAATTAGGGTTTCTTTAAACCCTTTTAAAACCTTTGGTCATGCCACAAAGGCACCTACCTTAACCAACACTGCAGCTGGGTGTGCCCCCTTTTTGTATCCTACGTGGTGTGTGCCACCCCTGAGTCTCTACGGGGGGGGCATGCTAGCGAGAGAGGAGAGAGAGAGAGCTGGAGAGAGAGATGGCGTGGAGGAGAGAGAGAGGTGTCTGATCACAAGGTGATGGGAATGAGGGGAGAACCCCTCCTTATATAAGCCTTAATGGCTCTAGGATATTCCACTTAAGATTAGGATTCAGTTTGACTTTAGGATTCCGAAGTAATCTGTGAGGTGAGAGAAACAAATCAGAGCCGTCTATCCTTGAAATCAGCCATCCAAATTTAGGGAGGAATCTAGGTACCTATTCTCTTAATCTTTGACCCATATCCACTCTAGTCAATATAGAATAAGACCAATAAAATCTCATGTGCTACTTTGATTAGAGTTTCCTTTCTATCATAAAGACATTGTAGATATTCAAAATCAAAGAGTCTTGGTCAATTTTCATAGTCATAAGAATATATTTCTCAATTAACTAAATGTTTTAAGATCTTAAAAAATGTTTTCTACTCCCACAAAATCTCCTAACAAAATCTTTTCCAAGATTTCCAGAACTAAGAGGATTCCCTAGTAGATCTCCCATTTTATTGACGGGATTCATCACTACTTTAGCTACTTCAGCGGATTGGCCAGTTACTCGAAATTCGCGATTATTTCATTTCCTCGAATGATTCTAATCCACATTCCATATTGTAGAATATACTACGATAGAATAAGAATATTAAGATAAAAATATAGCTATTATTTAACCATATAGCAAGGCCAATGTCAGCCCTACATCCCACATCATGGGGGTCCCTTATGTGTGGGGGCTGGGCCGTTAGCCCCTTTCCCCCCATGGGTCCCATTACCCCTACAAGTTCTAGAAATTTAAGAAAAAAGACCTTTTAGGTTTTATGCCATTAAAACAATCTTATAAAAAGTTCGAAAAATATCCAAACTTCATAGGAACATAAATGAAGTTGAAAATAATCTTTTTGAAGTTCTTCAAAATTCGAAAACACTCAGAAATGGTTTTAGAAGTGGATTGGTACCAATAGGTCAGGAAGGGTGACTGTTAGGGCACTCCACCCGTGCCAAGATCCGTGATCCACAATTATCTTTAAGCCAGCCCAAAGGGATCCATGACTCATAGTCATGCGGAGGGGTTCATGATTGACCCATCAAAGGTGGCCAATAAATAGTGAAACCACGGTCTTAGTATGTGGATTACAGGCTCCCCTCCCCCAAGAGCAAGTTACATGCATAAATCACTATTGTACAAAGGGGGCTCTTTCTATGCACATGTACATGTATCCCCTCTACAGGGTTGCTTCACAGAATGTGGTTGTCATATGTACAATGCCCTACAAAAGTTAGTTGAGGCTTTGGTCATTAATCTCACAAGCCTACAACTGCACATAGTAGATTACAAAGCTTTGTTGGCCTAAACACATCGTCTTTGGACATCTTTCTAACCTTGAGAAGGGATAACCCTCTTGAAACCCTTAATGGTGCCTATGCCTAAGGGAAAGGGTTTTGGACATGACCTGGGCTATATATCATCCAATCTTAGGTCAGTCTCTTTGAAGTGTGCAACCCACTAATATTTATTATTTTTACATGCTTGTACGGGCTTTAAAGGCCTCAAACCCCAACAGATAGTGTATAGATTCTTTACATTTAACTTTTTTCAATTTTTTGACAATGTACTTGGGAAATCCAGATGGCATTATCACTGGTAACTTCTTTGTTTGTAACAATTGCCCCTTTCAATTTGTGATGCCATCTTCCATGTCTTTTGCTCTTCAGAAAAAGCTATGAAGCTCTTCATTATGATGAGAGCAGTCCAGAAAACAACCCATATATGATTTGAATTCTTGTGTTCCTTTAGTATGAATTGTTGTTAAGTTAATTGCTACAGTGTATAAAACATCATTGTAGTTAAGCCAAATCTAGCCTTGTCTACAAGGTTTCGCCATTAATTTTCTGAGAACCAAAATGGACATAGTGAATCAGCCTGTTACACCTAGATGTGGCATATATGATCCAGTAGGGTCAAGCTGCATGTAACCCAAAGTAGTAGAGAAGTGGTCAGAACAGGGTTGAACCCCACCTTTCTAACTGGTTCACATCACTTATTTCTTTTTGCCCTTTTTCTTGCTAATAAGTAATAACCATGACCCCTCCCAATTTTGAGTATTTATCTGGCAGGCTTTTGGAAGGTGTAGACTCCAGTTACTAGCTTGTCAATTTGTTGCTCTTTCTATTATAGCTAACTAGCTAGCCACAAGGGTGTTAATTTACGTGATGCCATTTGTGCTTATTGTAGTTATGCAAAAGTATCACAACTTATATTTTGGCCATTGTGCTGATTTTGACTTTGAATGATCAAAATTTGGGGACTTGCCTAGTATTCTTCTTGGTTGTGCTCATGGCATTTGCACCTCTCTGTTTTTCTCTTTAGAATATGTGTAAGAATGGAAATTTTCCATAGATTAAAATCAAAATTGTATTGGCCAATAATTATTATTATTATTAATAGCTTTGAAGTGTACTGGTAGATTTTATGCTTGTTTAAAAGTTGGAGATATATGTTTCTTTATGATATTGAAATTTATTACCAAAGTTGCAGCAACGAGTTTTGTGATCCCCTCAATAAAAGTTAAAAACTGGCAAATGCAGGGCCTACATTTGTGGTTTCTAAGAGACCAATGAGAGGTCATGGAAGAGAGATGATTCAATTAGGTATCCCAATTTATGATGGACCCGTGGAAGAGGAAAATACTGCTGGAACTTCTAAAGGCAAAATCCTCCTTTTCTTTGCTGTGTTTGTGTGTGTATGTGTTTATGGCATCCATTTTAAATTGGATAAAAAGAAAAACAAAACCTTTTTAAGTGCGACTGTCCTGTCTTACGAACAACTTTGAAACTTTGTTTAAACAATTTGTTTCTTCAGATCGTAATGTGGAAGCCATACCTAATGAGCTGCAAGATGTTGTTGATAGACTAGTTTGCTGGCAAGTGTTGAATGTACAGCCTGACTGTTGCCTCATCAATTTCTTTAATGAGGTAATATGAGAATTTATTAATTGGGGAAGTTGATTTTGGTTCTGAGATCTAGAATTTTCCTACAATCAGCCTAGGTGGGATTTGTTTCTCTAATGAGCTGTGATGCAGGGGGATCATTCACAACCCTTCATGCCCCCAGCTTGGTTCCGGAGACCATTCTGCAGCTTGTTCTTGACGGAATGCAACATGGCATTTGGCCGTGTAATTGGCGTGGATCATCCTGGGGAATATAGAGGCTCCTTAAAACTATCATTAACTCCTGGGTAATTGTGCTTTCTTTACTATTGAAATTTCCCATTAAGTTTGTTGTTCTTTTGCAGTTATAATAGTAGCAATAAAGGGAAGATTAATGTGGTCTGTTTGGTTGTTTCTGGAATTAATTTCAAAGTTTGATCCCTTCATCTCCCTCATGCATTCAGAGCTGTGGCTACAATGAATGAAAATTTTATGTTTATTTTCATTTAATAATTTCACCCAACAATTAGGGGGCAGTAATATTGAGTTTAGCATCTGGCTACTGCAATGGATTCTGAGTTGAATCTCTTTTTTTTTCCCCTTGTGCGAGCTGAACCTGAAAACCTCTAGTTCCCTCTAGTTCTAGGCTAGAACACTGGATCCATATAGATAAGATGTTGAATTACTGTAAAATTAGAGGAATTCAACTTTCTTCCCTAAGAATAAGAAATTTGTTGTTCGTTTCTTGGGGTAAAAGTATGGGTCAAGCTGAATGTATTCTAATTTATCGATTGCAAACTTAAGTCCATTATCCATAAAGTCCTATATATATATATATATATGCAAATATTTGGTTTTGAACACCAAAATTGGGGCTCATGTTTGAAATCCAAGTGTCATCCACTGTTATCTAACCAGTGGGGTTAAATGCGATTCAGTGTCCGTTGCAGTGAAGAGAAGTGCTGTGGCTATTAGGAAAAATATAATAAGAAAAAAACATAGGTTATCCATTTCACAAAAATAGAATTGTACTCAGCTACAATTCCATCACTTTAGCATTGAATTCAACATTCTCATCTCATAGCATAGAACATTGTATTGCACTCGCCGTTCTGCATTCATGTTCATTCACAATTTGTAACGAGTAAGCTCGGATATTAGACCACTCACCAAATTAGGAAAGATCTACAACTGTTCGACCCATGTCTCACATAATATCTATATCCTGTGCTGTCCATTTTCATAGTCAAAACCAATGGTTTAGAAAGCGGATCGGTGACCCTGATCGGGCACCTCAAAAACCGATCCGGATCGGTAAATCGGTGATCCGGAGCGGGAATCGGCTGAATCGGTCTGATTAAAGCTTCAAAAAAATCCGAAAAAATTATTAAAATTCATTATAAATGTTGTCTTTTAGGAATCCAATAAAAAAAAATGAGGGTACTACATTATTAACTTCATTTTTTTTATCAATTTGTGAATATTGAGATGCTCTTTCCCTGTATAAACTTATTTTAACTATTAAATTTGCATCACATAAAAGAAAAATCATAGAACAATCATGGATAAAATATATAATTATATATGGACTATTATAAAGAGTAGACTAATCAATGAAAGAATGGCCATTAAAATCTCGTTTTGGCGAAAAACCCTAATCCGCTAAAAAAACCCAAACTATTACAGCTTAACTAACTATAATCCAAAATTATTACAACCTCACTAATTATAATATTATATACTGAAATTATAATTATTAGTTTACATTTTATAATTATTTTATTAGACAAATAAGAACAAATTAAAAATATTTTATAATATTATCTAATTTAAAATGTATTATTGACAATTGTAAGAAAAATAGTATATTACATGATTTATAATGCAAAAATTCATAAATAAAATAAAAGATTTGGTTATCAATGTAAAAATTAATAAAATGCGTACAAATTTTGGAAATAACACTTCAATTTTTCAAAAATTTATTTTTTTAGGTTTCTATAATAAATTTAGTAAAAGAGATTGTTAGTAGAAAGATGGAGATTTCAAATAGAATAAACTTTTTATTTTTATTTTTGTTATACCTTTCGTATTATTTACAAAAATAGTTATACCACTATATACAACAAAAATTAACTGTTATATAAAAAATTAATTTTTTTTGTTTTTCATTTTTTTATGTCTTTTATATTATTTACAAAAATATTTATATTTATACCAACCACTATATACACAACAAAAATATTTATATTTATACCAACCACTATATACACAACAAAAATGCAACACATGCCCAAGGAGATTTGAATGCAACACATGCCCAAGGGGATTCGACCTTGGGAGGTCAAGTAAAAAAACCAA